TAATCTTTGTTAGATCGGTCGCATGTGGATAAATTAAAGACTGTAGTAAAAAGAGGAAATGATTCAAATTCTGAAATTAGGCAAGGGAGGTTTTCATTTGGGATATTAGTTTGTGTTTTGCCAAATAAAATTTCAGAGTTAGCAATAGATAGGGCTAGAATATCAGAATGTAATATTAGTATAATAACTTACTATAGTTTATGTAAAGTTATTCTTTAGCTAGTCACACATCGATTAACTGAACAATTCTAATATTACAAAATAGAACATTTCAATTAGATTATAATTTAATATATAGATGGTTTATTATTGTCTTTGTATTTTCATATTTTGTATTGTTAACGTATACCAATTTTATTTAAATAACGTTACTATTAAATTCTGATATTTTATTCATTGCTGTATAAATAAAGCTGGCCCTGATGACTTGATTTTGCTAATAAAAATTTAGTGGTCTTAGCCTTCTTAATTTGATTCCATGATAATATTAAAAATAATTTGAATAACTAAAATATGCAATTGTATCTCCACCAGCTGAACATTTATGCATATTATATACAAAATATTTGATTATTTCACCAAGTGCATGGCCCTCTTGACAGACTATTGTAATAATAATAATATATTTATATAAGTTTATTAGTTTTATAAAAAAACACTCAGACTTCTTAAATATACAAATGTTCAATCCAAACACGTCAGCCATTATGTTCTTTCAAAGTGTTTTGTTAATGCCTTTTCTCTCTATAGTTCTAGTCAATTATTTAAAAGGTTCAAAATCAGAATAATTTTGTTATATTTAATATTGTGCGTGAAATTAAATAGGTGTGGATTTAAAACTGAGTTGTGTCAGATTGAAACTTAAGTTAAAATAGAAGATTTGTATCAAACTAAATTTTGATCGATTGGTGCTTTTCTTTCTTATTTGATGCCAAAATTTTGACATTTTGGCATGCAAAGCTTGTGAATATTTCAATAGCTGCTTAATTATGATTTTAATTATAGTTATATTCCTTATATACATCACGTAATTTATATTCTTGGCTTGACGCATCCCAGAATTGGACGTAACTCAATTTTAAATTCGAATCTGGCATATGACATTAACAGTTCGAAATTGAAAATTTTAGGAGTAAAAAATAATATTTATTTTGAATTCTCAAGTTTTTTATAGAATAAAGTATTAAGACTTCAAAAACAACAGCGGTGGTTTCTTATGATTATCTAATACTGTGGTTATAATCGAAATTTCTATAATTCCGGAAAAAAACCAGAATTTTGTTGGTGCTACCTAGAAAGATTACTAGTCGTTCTAGGAAGATTTGACTATATAGCGCTAAGGATTTTTTTAAATGAAATGAGGGTTAAAAGTTTTACAGTCACAAATAGAAAGGCTAACCTACATGTCACAAAGTTTCGGTAAAAACTAACTGTAGTTTTAAAATTTTTTGTTAGTAGCATATTTTTAATGCATATATAAAATTTTTTTTGATCGGTAAAACTATTTAGAAAATGATCTACATGTACTCTACCCTTAATTGGGTCGTTTGATGGGAGGCTTGAATTTCACAAGATCAACGTTGCTTTAAACGGATTCCTGGCTTCAACATGTTTACTTGCAGATGATCGTTGTTCGAAAATCGTGGGTCAATACAACGGTCTTTTGCGTAACGATTTGTAGGTCCATCGTCTATCATTTCGCATAATTCTTGATTTCTGAGAGCGCGAGGTTTTACCAGTAACAGTATAATCAAGAACAAGGCTTACAACGAATTTTTAACAAAGGTTAGTTAATTTTCTATAGACAACCCAATAGGAATAGGTTAGTGTGGTGGCTACTTGGGCCTCTTTTTTTTTTGTAAAAAAAAAAAGAGTAGGATCTTTATCGTGAGATCTGGATCCTTCTGCAACATAGCCGTTAGGCTCTTCGCCTTCCGCTCTGCGGAGAGGTGAGGTGTTGCATCGCTTCAAGTAGCCTAAATAGATATAAATTATCATCCTAACTTTTTTGATAAAAGTTCAGATTCTGGAGATGATATCTGTTACGGATGTGTTTGTATCTAGCCATTCTGATCCATTTAACTATCTGAAACATTACTCTTTTTTTTTTTATAAATTTTATAGTTACAATTTAAAGGTTTTACATCCTAATATGATAGGCCTAGGTCGAGGTGAGAGTTGGTCTTGTTACGAATTAGAATTTTATTTCAATCGTTATTGCGGCATTTACGAGATTTGCGGTTAGCCTGTTAAGTATTTTCTTTTAAGCCTTTATTTATTTTTATTATTTTTTTTTAGAAAATAACTTAGAATCACCGCGGTGATGATTACCGGTTGTGTAATATAAAATTTTACTTATTTCATTTATTTTTTTAGTTTTTATTTATTTCTAACATTTTTAATTATTTTTATTTTAGATTATAGCTTCAAGTTTCTAGCCTCAGTTTTGGGTT